CACGTGGCTTTACTTCTGTCCGCGTAGTGACGGTCACCGGTCACAGCTCTATTTCATGTATGATGCGGTAAATAATCACCAGTGATATAATTAGATATCTCAATTATCAGGATTAAAATAGAAAAATGTGTTTTATATTATTAATTATTTAAGAAAAAAAATGCAATCTAATACTCTTATTTTTTAAGAAAAACAGTTGTTAGGACAATTAGAAACGATTCGGATTAATAATCCAATCCAGTGTCTCGTTCTTTTTAATATTGCAACATAATGCAATCTAATAGTGTCATTTCTTTTTCTTAGACATAGTCTGATAGCGCCATTTAAAAAAAAACAGTTTAAAGAAAGAAAATAGATCTTAGAACAGTTTTATACAGTTCATAATAATAATTCAATTCAGTGACTTACACTGTTAATTATTCTAATAAAATGCAATCTAATAGTGCCATTTTTTTAAGAATACAATGCAATCTAACAGTGCCATTTTTTAAAGAATACAATGCAATCTAATAGTGCCATTTTTTTTAAGAATACAATGGAATCTAATAGTGCCATTTTTTTAAAGAATACAATGCAATGTAATAATGCCATTTTTTAAAGAAAGACCAGATTTTAGAAAAGTTTCGTACAGTTCATAACAGTAATCCAATTTGCAGTGTCTTGCTCTATTAATTATTCCAACATAATGCAATCTAGCAGTGCCATTTTTTGTTTAAGAACACAATGCAATCTAATAGTGCTATTCTTTAAGAGAAAGAATAGATTTTGGAACAATTTTCAGTGAATTATTGTAACATAATGCAATCTAATAGTGCCATTTTTTAAAAGAATACAATGCAATGTAATAATGCCATTTTTTGAAGAAAGACCAGATTTTAGAAAAGTTTCGTACAGTTCGTAACAATAACCCAATTTTCAATGTCTTGCTCTATTAATTATTCTAACATAGTGCAATCTAGCAGTGCCATTTTTTGTTTAAGAACACAATGCAATCTAATAGTGCTATTCTTTAATAGAAAGAATAGATTTTGGAACAATTTTCAGTGAATTATTGTAACATAATGCAATCTAATAGCGCCATATTTTTAAGAACACAATGCAATCTAATAGTACCATTTTTTAAACAAAGACCAGATTTTAGAAAAGTTTCGTATAGTTCATAACAATAATCCAATATTCAATGTCTTGCTCTATTAATTATTCTAACATAGTGCAATCTAGCAGTGCCATTTTTTGTTTAAGAACACAATGCAATCTAATAGTGCTATTCTTTAATAGAAAGAATAGATTTTGGAACAATTTTCAGTGAATTATTGTAACATAATGCAATCTAATAGCGCCATATTTTTAAGAACACAATGCAATCTAATAGTACCATTTTTTAAACAAAGACCAGATTTTAGAAAAGTTTCGTACAGTTCATAACAATAATCCAATATTCAGTGTCTTGCTCTATTAATTATTCTAACAAAATGCAATCTAGCAGTGCCATTTTTTGTTTAAGAACACAATGCGTTTACATGACTTTACTTCTGTCCGCGTAGTGACGGTCACCGGTGGCCGTCGCGTATTTCCGAATTCCCCTTGATCTTTCTTCGGTTTACGCAAGTAGGAGTCGTCGAAGCGCTATTATTCGCAATTGTTGTTCCATCGTCGCGTGTGCGGCCACCGGTGACCGGTCAAAGGATCCTCGATTTATGCGAGTTTGCTTTTGCTTGTGCAAACAACGGCCACCGTAAGAGTAGCTTAGGTCGCGGAGCAGCTTCTCTCCCGTTAACGCAACCGGTGGTATCCGGTGACCGTCAGGAAGCGTAACATGTCCGCAGATTATGCTTCTGTCTATGCATACGACAAGCAGTTATTCTCGAGTTCTCCGGTGAAACGATTTTTCTGCTGTCCGCACGACGCCGGTCACTCGAAAGATACGGTCGAATACAAACCGTACTTTCGCGCGACGATCCAATTCAGCGTTCCATTATCCGATCTGATTGTATTAGTATGCCATCCGATTTTACATGTAACCACGAAAGCAGATGTAAAGTGGCAATCTGCTGCAACACGGAATAGGCGTTTAGCTCGCCGTAGGTAACAATTTAGAAGAAAGTTATTCGAAGGAAAGTCGAAATCCCATTACCGCCCGTCGATCAATTAGCCGATCGCTGCTTAAAGATCGTGCTAGGAGAATCTTGGACGAATGTCGAGCTTCTTCGCGCCGGAGACAGGACGTATTATTTCGTTTCCGTCTGAATTGAACAATTAATACGTCCGGATCGATTACGACGATACGATTGCTCGTGTGTCGCGAGAATTTTATTTCGGAACCGATGCCATTACATTTTCCGTTATCCTAGCCGTTTTAACACGTTAATTGCCTGTAAAAGGTACATAAAATGGAATAGCTTGTTCAACTCCCTCCAGTTACAACAACCTGTCAGACTCGTTATAAAGATTTCATCGTGAACATATAATTTATCAAAGGTTTTACATTGGACGCTTCTTTTACGTAGAAATCGAATTAAGCTTCTGCCTATAATTTCACAGTTACAATTAATTGTAAAACGTAGAATAGATACTAATTTACTAATTTACTAATTTGTTAACTAATTTGTTTACTAATCTGTTACGATTGATCAGCTTGTAAATATACGTTAACGAGTTATTTATCCGATATGTCGCTGCTGTAATTCTATACTGGAATACGTATGTTCTAAATAATGAAGTTTAAAGAAAGAGACATTCAAAGTCTTTTTTTCCTTAATAAAAATTTGTTTGTTTTGTTTTCGAAAATAATGAAATATTGTTTTCATGAAATTTTGTATTAATGTATATTGAAAGAAATAAAATAAAATAAAATAAA